GAGCCAGAAAACAAGTGGGAGGCCTCCTCCTCCTCCTCCTCCTCCTCCTCCTCCCCCTCCCCCTCTTCCATCGTCATCGCTCCATTTCCTCCCAAAGGAGGAGGTATAGGGAGGTAGGAGGAAGGAGGAGGGAGGAGGGTGGAGGCTCCAGGGAGTGGAGGGGGGAAGGAGGAGAGAGGCAAGGGGGCGAGACGGGAAAAACGGTAGGATGGAAGAGGGAGTAAAACAGAATAAGATATCAAATCGTCGGAGGCTATCATTGATGGCCCTGACATCTGGGCGCCGAGCACGGACAACACCACGACTGTTTCTGGGTCTCGCAAGTCACCTCCCGCGGATCGATCCGCCTTGAACAGAACACGCGCCCGGTCATGGTGCCGAGATCTCTGGTGGAATTGTTTTCCGCCACGCGGTGACTTTGTTCACGGCGCCCCGGGTGCCTTGGACCCATTCGAGCAGCAAGGGGCGAACCTCTATCCACTACCCCCAGGACGAGAAAGGCAACGGAGCTCCCAGCCAGCTTCCTGGAGCCCCGCGGGGACCTGGGCCCCGAGCTCCCCGCCTTCCGATGCCTGCTTTGTGCCTGGCCTGCCAGTGCGTGAGCGCCAACTCTCTCGTCCTCAGCCCCCGGCAAAAAGGTCGCCACGCCGTTTGCTTTGAGCGCGTCCATGTGGACGGCACCGATACCACGGCAAACCCACGGAAAATCCTGCGTCCCGCCCTCCAAGTCGACGACGCCGGCGCCGCGGCAAACCCACGGCAAACCCACCGCGCCCGAGGCGTCGTTTGCCCCGGTGGCCGATGCGCCCGCCTCAAGGCGTTAAGGCCGCGCGTCGGAACAAAAGACGCGGCGACATACTCATTGTTGACGGTCCTGCGGCCCGAAACCGGCTCCAGTGATGGACGGAGGACGCCGCGCTGAAGCAAAACCAGTCCGCTGAGGTTCTGGGCCCTGCTCTTCTGGAGGGGCCCAAGGACACAGATACACAACACACAACACACAATACACAACACACACACACACACACGCAAACACACACAACACGCAATACACACAACACACACACACAACCAACACATAACACACAACACATAACACACAACACACAACACACAACACACACAACACACACACACACACACTTGTGTACACATCTCTATATATACATATATATATATATATATATAAAGACATCCCCGAAGTCCAAATGTTTTCCATATTTCCTGGATGTTCGTCTTGCCCTCCGCTTTCCATGTATTTTACGAGGTATTGCTGACCATTGCCCTCCTGGTCTTCTTAAACATCGACCGCATTTGGGGGCCAGTGTGGCGGCGAGGAGGCCCAAAGAGGGCACCAGAGCCACCATCACACATGCAAGCGTCGGCCCTTGGACCTCGAACTTCAAGTCCGCCCACTGGAGGGCTGCGTGGCACGGAACACTCTCCCGAGGGGAGTCCAGCCGTGGCGACGAGGAGGCGCAGAGAGGCCCCCAAAGGTACAATCACGCATGCAGGCCTCGATCCTCGGACCTCGACCCCCAGGCCCTCCCACCGCAGGGCCGCGCGACACGGGTGCGGCGGAGGCTCTGGGCTCTGCTGGCGCGCACGTGTGCGTGACCCGGCGCAGGGCGCTGGGCGGAGGGCTGCGGAGACAGAGCGCTACTGGGGCGGGGGGGGATACAAAAAGGTAGCGAAAGCGCAACTTCCGGGACCTCTGCTTGGGCGCGGTCTGACCAGCATTCGGAGGAGATTCCTGTCGTGGCGGCGAGGGCCTTCCAGGACGATCAGGATCTGTATGCGTATCTTCCTCCTCGGAACCACATGAGTCCACCAGAGGTCTGGGTCTGGAGGCCCCTCCCCAGACATCCTGCGCTCTAATTTTTTCGATGCGTGGGCCCCTGGAGATCTCGATCACTTCCCCAGGGCTGGTTTCTCATCCAAAACCATTTTCTGACAGCCCAGAGGCCGAAATACGGTCGGGAACTTTTGCTTCGTGTGTCGCGTCGGAGGTCCCGGCGACACGCTTTGCCTTGCGAGCGGATAGCGTATCGCTCCGCCCCGGGATGTTGACGCCTGGGGTCCCAGAAGTGGACAGCGTGTCGCGCCGCAGCGTGGTGGGCCAGAACCAGCGGAGCGACACAATCACAAAAATCCTGACCGTTGGAAAAACGGCCTCTCAATTTGATGATCGGAGATTCGGATCTCGGGTATCTACTGGCCCAGGTCAACCTAGATCCGGGCCAGTCGGGCTTTGCAGGATCCTGCAACATCCTGCGCCCTAGGGTCAGTGCAACCCTGGCTCTGCAGGATCCTGCAAGATCTGGCGCTCTGGCTGACCACCGCTTGCACTGATCCCCGTCTCAAGTCGGCAGCGAGCGAGGGGGGAAGCGATGAGAAGGCCTTCTCAGAAGGAGGCGGGACTTCTCAGACACCCCGCGCCTTCTGGCAAGCTCTCTCTGCCTTCGGGGAAAATCCTGGAAAGAACTTCTCTGAAGGCCAGGGGGCCTTCCGAGCCTTCCGAGAAGGCCCGCCCCTTCTCTGAAGGCCAGGGGCCTTCCGAGCCTTCCGAGGAGGCCCGCCCCTCCTCGCCCCCCTCCCTTGGGCTCGCCGCCGACCCTTCTCGCTCCCCTCCCTGGGCTCGCCGCCCCCCTCCCTGGGCTCGCCCCTCCCTGGGCCGCCGAAGATCTCTGGACCGCTCGCCCCCCTCCCCTGGGCTCGCCGCCGACCCGCCTTGAGGCTCCCGAAGATCTCTGGACCGCTCGCCCCCGGGGAGGGCCGCTCGGCACGGGCGCGGCGGGGGGCCCGCCGCGCGCGCGCGCCGCCGGGCGCCCGCGCCCGCCGCGCCGGGGCGCCGCCCAGGGGCGAGGAGGCGGCTCGAGGCAGAGCGGCGCCACACGGCGAGAAGTGGGCTCACGTGGGCCTGGGACCCGCCTCCAAGTCCTCCTCGTCCTCCTGCTCTTCCACATCCTCTTGCTCTTCCTTCCTCCTCCTCCTCCTCCTCCACCTCCTCCTCGTCCTTCTCGCCCTGCTTGCCCTCCTCGTCCTTCTGGTCCTCCTCCTCGTCCTCCTCGTCCTCCTCGGCCTCCTCGTCCTTTCCACCCTCCTCGTCGTCGCCGTCGTCGCCCGCCTCCTCCTCCTCCTCCTGCTCCTCGTCCTCCTGGTCTTCGTCGACGTCATCCTCCTCCTCCTCTTCCTCCTCCTCCTCCACCTCTTCCTCCTCCTCCTCCTCCTCCCCCTTCCAGAGGCTTCATCGTCATCGCTCCAAGTCCTCCCAGAGGAGGAAATTTTGGGAGGCACGAGAAAGGAGGGGGGGAGGAGGGGGGGAGGCTCCAGGAGCGGAGGAGGGAAGGAGGAGAGAGGCAGGGAGGCGAGAAAGGAAGACAGGTAGGATGGCAGTGGTGGCGAAAACAACGGGAATAGGAGGTAGGAGGGAGGAAGGAAATGCGAAGGGAGGCAGGAGAAAGGAGGCAGGAGGAATGAGTGGGCTAGGAGGGAGCAGGATGAGGAGGAAGTGGGAGGGAGGAGGAGCCAGGGGGGGAGGAGGCGTTTCTGGCCACTTCTGGCACACCAAGAGCCGCTCGCGGCCCCTGGTCAAACGCAAGTTCGAAAAACTGGCCAGCGTGCTTCCCATGAGAGGCCAAGGCCCTCTTGGTTTGAGCGAGGGTAGCATCGTACATGGGCGCCGTGAAGCGAACAACGACCTGCGTCTTCGCCCCGCTCAGGGCCGACGTGGTCAGCAAGATCGGGTTGAGAGCTCGGGCATTGTTTCCATTATTGAAGCCTTTCTTCTACGTCGGACCTTGGGGCTCGTGGCCGATGATGTTGTTGATGCTTGATGATCGGCGCGTAGGGCCGCGATGCACTTGGCATGCGATACTCCAGGCTGATGGCGACAACATTCCCTGTGCGAGGAGTCGTCGAACGCCTGCCGGCTGCCCATGGCCGCCGTGGCCAGATCAATCGCCATCACCGCTACGGTCATGCTGCGCAACTGAGACATGGGCAGAGGAACGCGGGTCAAGCATTTATTCCCCATGGAGATGCCCATGGCGAAGGATCTTCGGATGCGCAGGGCCCACAGTTAGATGAAAATCGCAAGGGTCCCTTTCCAAAGTTGGCTTGCTGTCAACCATGGCGCCAGCTGTAGCCCAGCCCCCTCCCTGCCTGTTTGTTTGACGTAGTCCTGGATGGGTGTCAAGGGCGGACCTCGATCGCGTGAGCCTTACATCCGCGGGGCGCGCATCTGGATGCCGACAGCATCACCAACGGCACAGACAGCACCAAGGCGCATGAGCCCAGGAGGGCGATTTCAAACAACGCCGCCCTGGTTCAAAGGTGGCAAACCCCGCCAGGGGCGGAACCCCCTCCTTTGTCGTTGTCATCGTGGTGCCCCTTCTGTAGCCGAAGCGTGGACACATGAAAGCAGGTCCAGAAGAACGGCGGCTTCGCCAAAAACAAGGCCCTACGAGGATAGCCTGCACGAACAACATGTGGGGAGCCATGACACGATAAAGAGAGCGACGATGCCATGAAGGCCGACCAGCTACATACCTGCACAAACATGAGAAACAAGCAGGCTTGGCAGGCCCCACAAGGCACACATCCAGAGCCAAGGCTGTTATGAAACATCGTGCAAGTTGTACCCCTCCCCCTCGTCCTCCTCATTCTGCCCCTCCCCTTCCTCATCTCCCCCATACTCGCCTCTAGCCAGGCTTCTTCCCGCCCCTCGTCTCCTCTATCACCCCCCCCCCTCACCCAACGAAGGGTGTGGGAGCAAGGATGGCGTGGAATGAGACGCTGTCCTCAACTCCGAGTGTTTCTAGCCATCTGTTCCCTACATGCCCACACACATTCCACTTCATGGGCCTCTCCCCTGGGTTCCAGGCAGGTCGAGCCCATTCCCCGTTCCCTCTCCCTCTCCTTCCACACTCTTGGCCTCCAACATCTCCACCTGCCCTGTTCGAATCCCACTCTCTCACCGTCGTCCTGCCCCCCGTCTTCCTCATCCTTCTCTTCATCACAAGTACGTGTCCTCACTGTCCCCTTTCATCGTCCTCCACGTCCCTAGTCCCTCGCCATGTTCTCGTGTCATCCTCCTCCTTTTCCCTCTCCGCCATCGCCGCGCTTGCCTCCACCAACTGGCGGAGGGCCCTCTTCAGCACTCGCACGAGCGAGTGGAACGCCGACAGGTCGAACTCTACCTCGGTCGTGTGCTTCTCTCATGTGCAAAGCGTTGTCCCGAGCAGATAAGGAGGAAGGAACTGATTTAAGGGAGGGAGAGATGGGGGAGAACGAGGGGGAGGTGAGAGGGCAGGGAGGGGAGACGGATGAGGAGGAGGAGGGGATGGGGGAGGGAGAAGATGGGGTAGACGAGTACGGGGGGGGGCAGCAGGACAAGGAGGGGAGGGAGCGAGAAAGGAACATAATGAGAGGCAGGGTGCGGGGAGTGGGAGAGGCAGGGGGGCGAAGAATAAGAAATGGACCCTCAGGATATCGGCCCAGGACACGATACGTGTGTGCGCGTGTGCGTGTGTAAAATGTGTGCATGCGTGTGTGGTGTGTGTGCGTGTGCGTGTGCGTGTGCGTGTGCGTGTGCGTGTGCGTGCGCGTGTGCGTGTGTGTGTGTGTTGGTGTGTGTGTGTGTGTTGGTGTGTGTGTGTGTGTGTGTGTTGGTGTGTGTGGTGCGTGTGCGTGTGCGTGTGCGTGTGCGTGTGCGTGTGCGTGTGCGTGTGCGTGTGCGTGTGCGTGTGCGTGTGCGTGTGCGTGTGCGTGTGCGTGTGCGTGTGTGTGTGTGTGTGTGTGTGTGTGTGTGGCGTGGCGTGGCGTGGCGTGGCGTGGCGTGGCGTGGCGTGGCGTGGCGTTGCGTGCGTGCGTGTGCGTGTGCGTGTGTGTGTGTGTGTGTGCGTGTGTGCGTGTGTGTGTGGGGGGCGGACGGGGGGGGAGGGGGGAAAGGGGGTTGGAACCGGCGCGGCCAATCATAGTTGCGCACCGTTTGCGCATGCGCGGTCTTCCTCGCTTCTCCTCTCGGCCTCCCACTTCTCCCCCAGCCGTACTGCCACCCTCCTCCCCCATCCTCCCACTACTCCTGCGCTCCCCAGCTCCCCTTAGCCATCCTGTTCCTCACCCGTTCTACTCCGCCCCCTATATCCCTCGCCAAATCCTCTTCCTCGCTCTCTGGCTCTAACTCCTCCTGTTGCTCCTCCTCCTCCTTCTCCTCGTCGCGGGCCCCAGGCGCAGCCCAACAATGTATGGGCAACAAGTGACTGAGGAAAAACAAGAAAGCCGAGCAGTTCCAACCTGGCCGCCACTGGATGAATGAAGGGGATGTGGAAGAAACGTCGGAGGAGGAGGCGGAGGAGGGGGATGAGGAGCAGGAGAAGGAGAAAACCAAATCGCCAAACCTGAAGCGGCACTTGAAACATTATGTACACACCAGCGTCAGTGGACACACGCATCTTCCTCAGACAAAGCAAAGACAGACCCAATACTGTGAAGGGTATCCTTCTCTTGTGCGACACCACGCGAGAACATCGTCGCCATCTGGTAGACCTGGCTATCAACTGGGGCTGCAGTGTAGCTCCAGCTCAACTAAGGTGGGGCGAGGGGGGGGCACATCCTCAGGGAGAGAAACCGACGTCGAACTGGCGATGCACCGCCGATAGATTGGACTCGCGCCCGCACATCCTGGGCAAGGTGGGGTACCCACCCGACGGGGAGTCGATGTCTCCCCTTGGACCAGCCCCCTTCACTCCGCCGCCTCTGATCAGCCCAAGAGCGCTTGTGGGAGCATCAGCCGGATAGGAGGCGCCTCCGCGTTCCACATGTCCGCCTTCAGCCTCATCGGCACCAGCGACATCACCTCTGGCCCGCCCGCGCCAACCTATTCCTCCTAATCCTCCTCGTCGGCCTGCTCGTTGATCCTCCGGTGATCAAGAACTCGGGGCTCGTGGTAGGGAACATGTGTGACCCATCTAGGGTTTCCAAAGGCTTCCGCAGACCTCATCCTCCCTTCCTCCCCACTTCACATGTCCGCCATTCAGCCCCTTGGGCCCCAAACGACACAACATCCTGCCCAACTTCCATCGGCTCCACTCCTCCTCCTCCTTCTCCGCCTCCTCCGCCGCCGCCTCACCCTCTACACTTACGCCTTTATCCTCCTCGACACTACCGACACAACATCTGGCCTGCGCGCACGGGGCTCAACTGGCTCGTCCATTTCCCCGCCATGCTTCGCCCTGTCCTGGTCACATCCTCCTCATTATGTTTTTCCTCGTCTGCCTCCGATGCATGTTTCCGCTGCCCAAGTCACAAGTCATCGAACGAGGTATATTATATGTCGGCCACGTGCCTGCAGATCCTGAATCAGGAATGCCAGACTCGCTGCTCGTACAGGATGGGAGGTCTTGGAAATCACGCTGGTGCGTCTGCTGAGAGCTGGCAGATCTGTGCTGACACATCGCGCTGCCAGCATGTGTTTTACCACACTGTTGACATATGCTCGAGAGGTCTGGAACACTGGATGCCGATCCTGACAACCACTGGAACTGTGTGATCTGCTCAAGTCCCAATCCGCTCAGACCCCCAACTAGGTATTTAAACAAGTATTTGAATCTGCTTTATGAACCTACGCGGATGTGTATTGGGAGCCATGGCGGGCCCCCAGCCTGGAGGAACAATCCAGTCATGCAACCTCGCTTGCTTGCTTACGAGGGCAAGATGCAAACATCCACAAACAGCTGGCATGCGATATCATGATGGCCCTGAAGACAGTCATGGGAACAGAAGTGGGGCAAGGAGTGGATGGAGAGATACAGATAAGACGATACGTGTATATAACATACGTAGCCCCCCGCAGACGCGGATAAGAGTGAGGGAGCGGTGGGGAGGTCGGCCGTTAGCGAGACTCTGGCGAAGCCCGCCGCAAGCGCCAACATTTCACAAATTATACAATGAGCCCGCCGCAGGCGTCGATTTTTCCGTTAAACCAATGTGGGTAGGTCGCGGGTGGGTCGCAAATCGGTCGCGGGTGGGTCGCTGTTGGCTCGCGGGTGCAGAGGGCAAAAAACCAACCCATACGAATTACCCCGACGAGCGAAGCCGTTTAGTAAACGCACACAAGGAATGAATCGAATAGGGCAAGGCTGCTGAATAAACGCCAAGGACCGTTTAGTAAACGTGAACTGACGGGTACGAGTGGTTTCTCCTGCCTTGAGGGTGGGTCGCGAGGTGGGTCGCGGGTGGGTCGCGGGGTGGGTCGCGGGTGGGTCGTGGATGGGTCGCGGGTGGGTCGCGGGTGGGTCGCGGGGTGGGTCGCGGGGTGGGTCGCGGGTGGGTCGCGGGTGGGTCGCGGGGCGGGTCGCGGGTGGGTCGCGGTTGGGTCGCGGGTGGGTCGCGGGGTGGGTCGCGGATGGGTCGCGGGGTGGGTCGCGGGTGGGTCGCAGGGTGGGCCGCGAGGTGGGTCGCGGGGTGGGTCGCGGATGGGTCGCGGGCGGGACAACGACAACAAACACCACCAACAACAACACCAACAACAACACCAACAACAACAACAACGACAACAACAACGACAACAACAACAACGCAGCAGACTGAATTACCACCACAAATCCCTTATTCAGCCACGCACCCCGGGACAATGATTGATCGTTCGGCCCCCTCACTCTGATACATGTGTATACATATATAAGTATGGCTGTGTGCTTGTGTGTGTGTGTTAGCCAGCGTGGACCCCAAACAGTGTGCTCCTAGCAATATAGGTTGTGCAAGCTCTGCGGGGGAATCGATGTGGTGCAACCTATGTGGTGCAATATCGGTTGTGCAACGTATGCAGTGCACTATGTTTATATCTATCTATACAGTATGATGCAATACATGCTCTGCAATACTTATATAGAGGTACCAGCGTGAGGCACTTGATGCTGTGCAATGTACTTGGTGCAGGCGGTGCTGTGCTCAATCAAGGTAATTCAATCGGCGTGGTACAAGCTATGTGGTGCGCAGTCCATGCGGCGCAATCGAAGTGGTGCTATCTGTGTGGTGGAACTTCAATTGCGCACCTGATGTGTGGGATCTATGTGGTGCAGTCTATATGGCGCCAAGAATGCGGTGCAATCTACGTGGTGAAGTCTAGGCGGCGACAGGGTGGCGACGAGGCGCCGACGGCGACCACGGAGCTGCCAAACCGCCACCCAGGCCCAGACGACGGGCGGCGACGAGGCGGAGACAGGGCGGCCACGGCAAGTATGGAGCCGCCAGGCCGCCAACCCGGCCCAGACGACGGTTGGCGACGAGGCGGTGACGAGGCGGCGACGGCGATCACGGAGCCGCGAGACTGCCACCCAAGCCCAGTTCCTTAGAAGAGAAGTAAGAACCACACTTGCAAGCACTTTTTGGAGAAATTGAATATAGAGATATACAAACAGAGAGAGAGAGACAGAAAAGGAGAGCGATAGAGAGAGAGAGAGAGAGCAAACACAAGGCAAGGGGAATACAACAAGGCAGACAGAGAAGGGAAACTGAGAGACGGCGTCAGGGAAAGCGAGACTGAGAGAGAAAGAGAGAAAGAGAGAGAGAGAGAGCGAGAGGCAACTAGAAAGACCCATATATAGATATGTGTATGTATATATATACACATACACACATACATATGTAAATGAAACACGGAAACATAGCGAAACGGAGCGAGGCACAGAGGCGGACCAACAGACGCATCAACGGACAGAGAGAGAGAGAGACATAAAAACGAGAAACAGTGAGTGCAAACGAGATAGGGATGGGAGGAAACGACAGATATATAAACACACCAAGAAAGAGATATATATATATAGAGAGAGAGAGAGAGACAACACACAAACACATACCTGCATATATGCATTTCGAGCGAGAGGGAGAGAGGGAGAAGCGAGAGAGAGAGAGAGAGAGGAAGAGAGAGAGATCAAGAGGAGGACAGAACGCCATCCACACTCAACACAACGTCAACACGAACATATAATGTATGCGACGCGCGAGTGGGTGGGCGGGCGTCTCACGGCACCATCGTCCCCCTCCAGCGTCATTTATTATTCTTCTTCGTGGCCCGTACCCTGGTGAGCTCGAACCCCTTTCAAAAGAGGCTGGTTATTTTGTGGGTCCAAAAAACGGTGCGGTGACAAAGCGCGCGGTGACCCTGGCATGCCCGACGATCTCACCGCACGGCCCGTAAGCGCGCGGTGCGCGGTTTGGGAACCCTGAGGGCCCCAGTTGCCTGACACATCATCGGTGGACACGCCAACTCCCCAAATCGTGCGGTCGCTCCGACTCCCCACCGACTCACCACACGGTGCGGTCACCGCGCCGCGTGTAGCCCCCCGCTTCTTCCTCCCGCGCGGCTCCGTCGACGGCCCACGGGGCCCTAAAGACAGCGGGGAGAGGCTGGCCGCCTCGCCCTGCGAATGGCGCCCAGGCCTGGAAGGGGGGGGGCATTGCCTCCCGGGCGCGACCGACCCCCCGGGAATCCTCGCCCCCGTGAGCGGAAAACGCGGCCCCGCGCGCCCTCCTTCCACTGCCCTGCCCCCGCCCATCTCCCCCCCTCCCCCTGTTGCGCTTCCCACCCTCCTTCTCAACTTGCCCCTTCCCGCAACCTCACCCCCCCCTTGCCCCGACCAAGGCTGGAAGGGGGGGTGGAACGATGAGAGGGAGGGCGGACGAGGCGGGCCGAGAGGGAGTTGCATCAGGGGGAGGAGGGGGGAAGAAGGCTCCAAGAGGAAAGATGAGGAAATGGAGGGAGAGGGAGGGAGGGAGAGGGGGGGGGGAAGAGGAGGAGGAGCAGAGGGAGAGAGGGGGAGGCAGGAGGAAGAGGTGGAGGAGGGGGAGGAGGAGGGAGCAGGAGGAGGAGGACAAGTGTGAACCCAAGACTCCTGAACGATGATGGAATCCACTCTCCATCCAAGCTCCCTCTTCATAGGCCACCGCCAGGGTTCATGTCCACTGAAGGAAAGGCTGCGTTGGGGGACAGCCGTGTGAAAACCCCGAAGGTGCCGAAACACTATTTTGAGCACTTCGACGCCACGGTCAACATCACTGTTGCGTCTTGACGAGCCAGGATCGTGCCAGGACGAAATTCCTGGGACTTCAACACCACGAATCAACGTAAGTGTTGCGCCCTGACAGTCCTGGATCGTCCCAAAACACTATTTTCTGGTACGTTAGCAATGAGTGTGTGATAAACTCTTGCAGCAAGTGTAACACGAATGTGCGCGGCGTTCAGGCGAGAGCCACATTTCGAAAACCACCCGCCCTCCATGTGTGAAAAATATAGCACAGTTTTAAAACGAGTGTGCGCGTCGCTAAGGCGAGAGCCACAGTTTGAAAACCACCCGCCGTCTACGTGTGAAACTCTTTCACATGTTTTAACAGAGTGTGCGCGGCGCTGAGGCGAGGGCCACATGTTGAAAACGAACCGCCCTCAGTGCGCGAAACCATTGCAAGTAATTCTAAAGAATTCGCGCGGCGCTAAAGCGAGAGCCACATTAAGCCACCCACCCTCCACGTGTGAAACTCTTGCACATGTTCCACACACATGTGCGCAGCGCTAAGGCGAGAACCACATTCTGAAAACGACCCGCCCTCAATCCGTGAACCTCTTGCAAGTTGTTCGAAAGAACGTGCGTGCCGTTACGGCGAGAACCACAATTTGGAAGCGATCCGCCCTCCATATGTGAAACTGTTGCTAGATTTTCAGCTTGAGGGTCATACATGGCACAGAAGTCTCAGGCGCAACGCCCAGCCCGCCCTTCCGACTGGCCTCGGAGCGCGACAGGGGGAAGTTTTTCGCAAGGAAAAAATGAAAGAGAAGGAAGGGGAGGAGGAGGAGGAGGAGGAGGACGAGGAGGAGGAGGAGGAGGAGAAGGAGGGGGAGGAGGGGGAGAAGGAAGAGGAGGAGGAGGACGACGACGATGGTGACGACGAGAGGGGTGGGGAAGAGCTGGGGGAACATTAGACATCTTGGCCCCTTTGCCGAGCTTTCTGGTCCGGGCGCTCGGCTCGAAAGGTCGACCTCTCCCCCCCCCCGGGGCCCTGGTGAGGAGCAGCAGCGACTTCGTGTCCGTGTCCACTGGCGCGACGGGGTACTTCACCTGGCCCTCCTGGCCCCCAGCCTCCTTCTCATCCTCCTTCTCCTCCTCCTCCTCTCCTCCTCTCCTCCTCCTCCTCCTCTCCTCCTCTCCTTCTCCTCCTCCTCTCCTCCTCTCCTCCTCCTCTCCTCCTCCTCCTCCTTCTCCTTCTCCTCCTCTCCTCCTCCTCCTCCTCCTCCTCCTCCTCCTCCTCCTCCTCCTCCTCCTCCTCCTCCTCCTCCTCTCTTCCTCTCTTCCTCTCCTCCCCCTTCTCCTTCTCCTCCAAGTCTCCCAGCCCACTTTCAGTCTCGGCGCGATGGCGTTTGACCCAGTGCGCGGCCGCGACGCGAAGCCCCCGCCGCGCCGCCATCAGCTTTCTCCGCGCACGGCCAGGCTGGACACAGCGCAGCTCGCGGTGTGAGGGGGCAAGCAAACCTGCCTCGCTTTTGACCACCCTCGCTCCCAAGAGATACCAAGCGATGCCAAACTACGGCCTATCCTGGTCAGGCCGCTTGACGAGGAGGCGCGTGGCATGACTCGTGACTCGGTTTTGCCTGGAAGCGAAAGCGGGGTAGGCAATTCACGCTCTGAGGTGTGATTGACTTGCGTCATCTCTTTTTTTCGCGCGCGCGCCGCCGCCGTGTGCTTCATGCACCACTGCAGCCCAAGTCACCAGGCAAAGACTGCCACGCCTCCCGTTTTGATAACCTTCTCGTGCGCCAGGCCTGCGCCGCTGCTCGTCAAAGCAGTGCCGGCGCCGACCAGGCTGCTGCAGCCTACGACGAGCTTGTCTAAAAACACCCAACAAACATCGAAGCCGTTGACCAACAACACCGCTCCAACCAGCCTCGGCTCAAGAACGAACTGATGGAACTGTGTAAACAATTTCAAGATCATCCACACGGGTACCCAACGGTGTTTTTGCCATCGCACACAATACGGGCAACAACCGTGACCCACGGGGTTCAATGGCCCTGGCCGCTATCCAACAGGATAACGGCACAGTCCATATCATCAACCTCAATGCGACAAATTGGGACGTACCGGTCGCGCCTACGCTGCTCAACAGGGCCGATCACGGGATCTCGCATATCAGTAGCATCCCACAAGACCCCGCGGAGCGTCAAGAACCACCAGGCTGCGACGGAGACCCTGACGAATGACAAATATCCTAACCAAGCTTCCACGGGATCTCCGATCAGACCGACGCCCAGTTCCGCAGCCTCGAAGCGGAGCCGCAGAGGCTCGCGGACATTGTAAGGTGCCTTGCAACCACGGTGATCAGCGTGGCCACCAGCCAGGCTACCGTGGCCCAGCAGTGCCACCAGCTCGACAAGGGAACGCGAACGCCTCCGTCCAAGCAGCGCAAACCAACTGATACACAGACCTGGGGGCCTTCATAACAAAGACGCGAACTGACGACTTGGACGACGAATGGGCCCCCTACGACGAGGCGAACCCGTGCTCCTGCGACGACTGTGACCCTTGCGAAGAATGGGACCCCTGCGACGAATTGGACCCTGCCGTGCCAAATAGTGTGTCATCGGGAATGGGGGCCCGGTCGTATGGCATCGGGAACGAGCCTGGGCCCGTCAGGGTAAACGCAAGGCCCACCAGGGCCGACGCACTGCCAGAGACGACCACACCCCGCCGCCTGTGCGTCCGCCCACCCAGGAGGGCACCGAGGTCATGGCCACCAGCTGTGTACAAAGCCCCAGGACTGGCCAACACCGCAATATGCCAATGGCCGCACGGGGGATCAGAATCAATACTGGGTGGTCCTGCTGACCAGTGGCAATGCTGCCGTCCTGTACACGTCTAGTTCGATCCCTCGCTCCCCTCAGCAGCCGCTGAAGGGTAACACTGCGTCGACGTCAGACAGCGGGACCTCCAGATGAGGGACCAGGCCCGCCTGCGCGCATGCGGAAGCCCGTGTGGGACCTGAGCTCGCACCTCCGATGCAAGCTGTCGCGCCAGCGATTGCGGCACCGACAGGGCTTGCGGGCGCCCTGGGGCTTAGTTCGCGGCAGCAGGAACGCCTTAGCAAGCTCCCCAAACACCGACGCGGACCGCGACCCCCCATCGGTCCCCCTCTCCCTGAAATCCTGCCTGGAAGGAGACGCTGAGGAGGCTGCGCGCGAGTTTATCGGCACGACCCTGCGCCAGCTCCTGACCGAAACAAGTAGCTGAGAAGGATACCGGCGACGCACAGAACAACGAGGGCGATGCCTGCGCGGGCGGGATCTGCTACCCCCTTGGCCTCTGAACCGACAGGGGCGCCAGGATTGCCCATCGAATTGAACGCGTTCTGCAGCACAGTTTTGTTCCCCCTACCGTCGTGATGCGATGGACCGTCTTAGCTTGCCTCGGCTTGTACGTTTCACGGAAACCACTGGACATCGCTTCGTCTCACACCACCCCAGCTCGATTAGGGCGAGCACACGCGTGATCCTCCCTTCCCCCACGGTCGTGGCCAGCCCACCAGGGCTCGCGCCCACGACTGCGACAAGGAGTGCAACGAGCACCAAGTCTTTGTCCAGCACGTACAGCACCAGATATCTGACACTGCCAAGCACGACGGGGTCGAGCACCAACATCCTCACTTCTATGATCGATAAGAGCAGCGCAACGAGCACCACGTGTTCGAGCAGCAAGTCACGGACCAACACCTCGGCACTGTACAGACCGACGGGGTCAAGCACAACGACTTCGCGCACCAAAACGGGATCTAACACCAGCAGCCGCACACCTTCGAGCGAGCCGAACAGTACAATGAGCACCGCGTCTTCGAGCGGCACATCTGGGACCACCGAGACAGCGTGCAGCACGACGAAAACGAGCACTACGATGTCGAGCAGCACGACGAGCCCAAGCCCCAGCAAACTTACACTGACGAGTGAGACAAGCCGACTCGTCGCCAGAACGGACTGAAAGCCCAAAACGGCAGCGGACGTAGTGAGAGGCACAACGTCCCTGGCAACACCCACTCCCTGGCTCACAGCACTATCGTGAAAAGCCTGCCTATGCATGTCTCGCTCTCTCTCCCTCTCTTCCTCTCTTTTTCGCTCTCTCTCCCTCTCTTCCTCTCTCCCACCCTCTATATTATTTCCTCTCTCTCTCTTCGTGTCTCTCTCTCTCTCTCTTTCTCTCTCTCTCTCTCACTCTCTCCCTCTCCTGCCTCATCCGTCTCACCATCTCCTTCATCCCTCCTCCACCTCCTGCTCGGCATCCTGCTTTTCATTCCTCCTCCGTTCTCATCCTCCTCCTTTTCCTCTTCTTCCCCTTCTCCCCCTCGTCCTCATCCACCTCCTTATCCATTATCATCCTTGTCCCTCTTCCTCATTTCCTGGCGTTGCGAACAGGGGGATAGGGAAAGGGGGGAAGTTTCTTAGAAGCACCCTGCTTCTTAGAAGGCACGGGCCTTATCTGTAGATGTAAAGCCCGCGCCTTCCAAGAAGAAGGGGTGCTCCTAAGAGACCTTCCCCTCTCCCCCTTCCCTCTGCGCGTGGCCGAATAAAACTCCTCCACCTCCTCCGAAAGCCAACGGAAAGCAGCCGAACGCTCGCCGGTGCTGCCCGAACACGGCCGGGGTCCTCCTTCCTCGTTCGCCCCTCGCACCACGAAGCCTGACGCGGGATACTATTCGCGCCCTCGAGTGGCACCATGGACAACTCGAGGCCAGATTTCTTGGGTAACCGATGTCCCCACACCTCCAGAGGCAGACGTATGTATATGCTGTTGGCCCTCGAGAGGCCGAAGCATATCCACATCCAAAGCCTCCTGGGGGCCCAGGACATCGTTCGCCCGATGGTTGATAGCTCATTGCATCTCTTCCCCGAACCGTGGATATGTAGAAACTACGGCCTTCGACAAAAGCGGAAACACGTGAACCCTATCTGGCCCTGACCGCGACGCACGAATCGCGTCATCCTGGCCACGAGTGGGCATGCAGCCATTGTGCTGCCAGAGGGAGCGCCACATCGGAACGGAGGGGCTTGCTTCCAGCCACGGCGAGCCTCGGCCACGCACGGGCTCCGAGCCCCGTGTCCGAGGGGCGGGCCGAAAGCAAGAGAGCCCCCTCGAGAAGCCAAGGTGGTCCTCGTGTAGTGCCTTGACTGTACGTCTCGAGGGGAACTGGCCCCAGGCCTCCGATCATCTCATCCTTGGCCGTTTTCTGACGCCCCCTGGGCCCCGCGGAAGGCCACATGGGGATCGAAGACGGCGAGGAACTTCCAAGACCCCTTGCCTCCGAGACCCGCTTGCTTTATGCGGAATCGCCGCAGACATCCTCCATGCTGAATCACAGCCACGCCCCCGCGAAGATGACTCCGAGTCAATCCATGGCCCGTCTCCTTCATGCCAAGCCTTGGCACGATCGAAGCGGGCACGGGGAAAGATGGGTACGATGCCCGTCGCCGGATGTTGTCCAAAACTAGGCAGCGGCCGCTGTTCGGAAGTCGACCTGCTGTCTCGACAGGACCACATCCGCGGCGACACAGACAGCGAGTCCTGTTCACAGAGGCGCCGCCAGGGGGGCCCAGCGCCGATCCAAGAAATCAGCGCGGACTGTCGAAAGTTGATCATGCATATGTCACTTCTTGTTTCTCGAATACAAGCGTCACTACCTAACAGACCACCCGGGCCCAATCCGAAAGTCCCATTTCCCTCCACATTTCGGGTTGGGGGGGTGTACGGGTTCCAGAACGTCCCCCCACTGGAAATTGGCGGCCCAACGGCGACTTCGGGTTGGGATAGGGTGGCTCGGTGGGCAGTCAAAGAGCTGCTGCTGGCCGTCGTCCCATTCTCTCCGTACCCCTTGAGGCTGCGAAGGCAACGACGCCGCGCTGCCTGGGCTGAGGACCCTGTCGGCTCTCATGGGCAACGCGGTGGTTCAAGGCTTCCAGGCGCCCTCGTTGTTTCTCCATAAAGGCTTCCCGTATGGGGTCCAAGTAGACGGGGTCGGAGGATCGCGCCGCATCTACGAGGCATCGTCGACGTCGGCGATGCATTGGCGACGTCGGCGCGAAGCAAAACGGGATCCACATCGACCCGCATCGCCGATGCATCGGCGATGCGGAGCGACCCTTCGAACCCATCTCTACCCGGACCCCCGTTCGGGAAGCCCAGGCTCCAGCAGCTGCGCCTCGCCAAGAGCGCTCTGGGGGGGCCCATCCAGTCCTCGGGGGAGGAAGCCCTCCGAACGCGCCCCCCGCGCAAGCTGGCCGAAAGAACAGGGGCCCAGCTGCGAACCCTACCCCACCCTCCCCCTCAGAAATCGTGGGGGGTAGAGGGGTAGGGTTCGCACTTGGGCCCCTAAGGAAGCTCCTCCCTCGAGCTGCCGACGCCGCCGCCGGTGGGCTGCCCCGCCCCGCCGCCCCCTCCCCCGCCAGCTCCGGGAAGGGACGCTCGGCCTGAGGGGCCGCCCCGGGCTCGCGCCGCCGCGGCCGAGGCATCGAGGATCGAGGGCCGAGGAGAGCGCGCGCGTGATTACAGGGCAGTTTTTAATACATAGGTTTTTCAAACAATATAGGGTTTAAATACATGATTCATGTATGAATGAATTTCTGCATGCGTGAACTCATCGTTGTTTTTAATGCTGAGTCCCTACATTTTTAATACATGATCCGCACGCGGAGCATGTATTAAAAAACGGCACTGTACACGCATGTCCGCCCCAATCCAAGGCGACCAATCGGCGAGCCGCACCTGGAGCGACTCACTTCTCCGATGGGCTGAACCTCCAGTGTGATGTTCTTCGGCACTGCCGCGCTCCCTTCCTCCTCGTTGTTCGTCCCCATCCTGGGTCTGCTGTTGCTTCGTGGAGCCCACTGCCCATCATCTAGGAATCTGGCATGTATTATGGCGAGAGCGTACGTGCATCGAAGATCGAGTAGACCGAGGCACCGAGGCATCACCGGCGGAGGCGGTCCGAGGCATCGGAGATCGAGGAGGAGGGGGATCAGGGGTCGAAGAACAATACAAAATACACTTTTCCGCCGTCGGGGACGCCTGTCCAAGGGCGAAGTGAAAGTGTATACTCCAACGTTGGCAGGTGGGGGTATAAACTTTCCAATCGCCCTGGGACAGGCGTCCCCGACGGCGGGACAATCCCCCCAGCCCTCTGGGCGTAGATGGTTCAGGGCGTTTCCTCTTCCACCCCCTTCTTCCCCAACCCCCTCCCCTGGACCTGGACGGGGCTGGTCGCGAGCGGTCAGAGCGTCCAACATGGCCCAAGACGGTTTCAAGAAGGCCTCAGAGACCCCAGGATGACCTCCAAGATGGATCAATATAGCGCAAGAAGCCTCAAGATGGCTCCCAATATGCTCCAAGATGCCCCAAGAAAGTTCCAAGACGGTTCCAAGAGGCCAAGGAGCTCCCCAAGGAGGCCCCCAAGAGGCCAACATCCTTCTGAAACCTTTGGAACACCCTGTTGTTTGCTTTCTCGCCTGTTCGCTTCTGTTGGCCATCCGAGGCTTCAAGATGGCTCCAAGATGGGCTAACGGGGCCCCAAGAGAGGCCCAAGAGAGCCCCAAGACGGCCCCAGGAGCGCCCAAGAGCGCCATAACAGCGCCCCGAGAGCGCCCTAAGAGGCGATTTTTGGGGCTCCCGAGGGGGAGTGCTAGAATTGGAACTCCCCTCTTCTTTGATCGATGTCCTCCAAGATGGCCCCAATAGGCGCCCAGGAGGCCCCAAGAGGCCCCAAGATGGCTCCAAGATGGCCCCAATATGGCCCCAAAAGGCCCACAAGAGGCCGCCATGAGCACCCCAAGCGGCCTCAACCCCCCCCCCCCCCGAGGCACCCAAGACGCCCAAGAGCCCCCCAAGACCGCCAAGAGACCCCAAAGACGTCCCAGGAGGCTTCCAAGCAACGCCCACAAGATAGCCCAAGAGGTTCCGAGAGGCATCCACGAGACCTCTGACCCTATTGCTCGCTATCCTCCTCCTGTACCTGCTCCTGCTCCTGCTCCTGCTCCTGCTCCTCCTCCTCATGCTCCTCCTCTTCCTCCTCCGATTCCGACTCCGACTCCTACTCCATCCTCCCCCTCTTAGGGGTATACGACGGCTTACCCCGCCCTTTGTTCTTCTGCTTGCTCCCCCACATCCCTGATCACCTCAATTCCCCTGGGCATCGTTTCTGGATGGGCTGGTGGGGATACTTCTTGGTATGCGGGCTCGCGAAGCAAGTCGAAAGCCGTCCGATCACTAGCCGGGACGCGACTAGGCAGCAACAAAAAGAGAGGGGCAAGCGAAACGAACGCGCGGGCAGCCACGCAGGAGCACCAGGAGCGGCACTCCCAACCCGGTGGCGTGAAAATCCCTGTGTCGACCATCAAGTAGGCGCAGCCAAAATGGCGCGGCGGCGCGACCATAAACACGCTGAGGTCGACCACCCGGCGTGAGTCGGCATAGGGCCCGACAAAAACGAGCAGGTCCGACAGGCACTCCAGGGCGACATCCGTGCCGTAGGTGACACAACAGCATCGTGCTGGCGCCGGAGTGAAGGAAGGGGGCGACCTCGTCACATACATACTGCAAACGGCAGATCCTCTCGTATGTACATCTGGTGGCACAGGTCGAAAGCGAACTCCATGTAGGAGAAAGCAGCCGACGGGCGCCCAGAGCCACCCATACATGCCGAAATCCTTGCACCGAAGAGGACGGCACCGTAGCGAGACCCCACGGAACCCAAACGGTCACCAGTGGAGGCTGACACCAAGCAGGAGCAGGCCAAGGGCCACCTGACCGCCCATCCCCAGTGTGGTCATGCATGGAATTCGAAGCGAGACCTCACGGAACCCTCCCGGTCACCAGGGAGGCCGACACCAGAAAGGAGCAGGTCAGGGGCAACCTGGCCGTCAGTTCCCAATGTGAACCTTGCATGGAATTCAGGCTGTCAGAACGCCATCGGACGGCACCTTTGGCGGCGACCCCAGCCGCGCGGGATAAACCCGATGACGCGAGGGAGAGGAGGGGAAGTGCACGCCAGGCACGGTAGGCAACCCGTTGTGGCAGCTAACCGCTGCGGCTATAGGAAGCAGGAGACACAAGCATCGGAGCCATCTAAGCCCTCTCGGCCATCGGCAGGGGGGGGGGGGGCCGGCTTAAGGCAGCCAGTAGGCACCGCACAACCGAGTCCCGGTGAAATACATGATCCCAGTGACGCAGGAGAGAGAGTCAACTAACCGCTGAAGCACAAGGAGAAAAAGGAGGAGAGCTTACCATAACCCTATGTACACTGACGCGCACGCTAGGCGCTCGGTATCGAAGCTTGCCTTGGTAAGCCCGCCACTGGCGCCAGTGTGCCATTGTTCCTCACACGAAGTCCTGGGAAAAGCTGGGCTCCTTCGGCCGCGGATGATGAGGTCCTCCACTGAGCATCCCATATGCGCCAGCGGGTGTAGGCCACGCGCGCTTGTTTGTTTAGCCACGCACTAGTTACTGCAAGAGCCCTCAGGGAAGTGCTGTCGATGAACCATTCCGGGCGCGCTTCAATGGGGCGCTTGGCAGGGGCAATCACGGCGGGCTGCCAGTCTGGTGCCAGCATTGACCCGCAGCAACTGCGAAGGAGGCAGAAGGGAAGGGAGAGCAGGGGAACGCGGCTAGCCGCCGCCAGCACACGAGAGCGACTTAGCAGTGTAGTCGCATGGCGCACCACATACCCGGCGCGATGACAGAGGCGTACCTCGTCGAACCTGGGTGATGCCCCGCGCCCAACATTACTGACGATACCGTTTCTCGCGCCATGAACTCCATGGGCTCTCGGTTACTCGGTTCCTCTTCCCAGCCTTGCCCAGTGAAACGGGTCCTTCCTTCGTCTTGCCTTTGACCTTGCTCGGGTGCTCTCCCGCTGCGTGGGGCCTGGGGGCGGCGGTCCCGCTGCTGCTGGCAGCTCCTGGGCTGGAGGCGTTATTGACAGCCGTGAGCCTGTCAGTTCGGCTGCGAAAGCTGGTCTCGGCGCGCAGGATATGGTCGGCGCGGTGCACGTCGTAAATTGAAGCCCCCCAGGCGTTGAGGAAAACCCGGCACGCGCTTGGCGGCTGCAGTGCTGGCTGGGTCAAAGGTCGGCTGGGTGTTAGCGAGGCAAGTTTTGGTGCAGCGCGCGCACCGCAGGTCGCTGAGCATGCTGCCTAGCTCTTTCTGCATCCAGAGGACGAAAGTACTGTCGGACTCCCAGGAGAGTTGTGAGCCGATCATGCGCAGCGGTGCCCTGTACATCTTGGACCCGTCGTTCTTCTTGGGCTCGTCGATGGACAGTGGGTCCTTGGAGAAGGGTACCCGTATGCCATGGTTGAAAATCCCGTCGTTTCCCGTGCGCATGTCCAGGTGACGCTAGGCGTCGTCGCGAGAATGCGTGGCCCAGCGGTCTAAGGACCTGTCGTAACTCCACTGGTACCTGCATCCGCGCGTGGAACCAGTCCTGTCGTCAGCGTTGTGCTGAGTGGGGCCGTCTCGTTGTCCTCGTCTGCTGCTCTGTTCCCAGCCTCGCACGTGCCCTTCTGGAAGGGCCCGGTGTGGCGGATCTTGCTTCCTCGGCAGCGGGGGTCTGTCGTCTGTGACGCGGGATGTTTCGTCGTCAGCCGTCTCGGTGTTGCGACCGTCGCCTGTAGCTGGGCTTCCTTCAGGCCCGTCTGCTGCGTCCGCTTCAGATTCCTCGCTCACCTCATCCGGGTGTTAATCCGGGTCGTCGCCGCAAGGGCCCCTGTGTTCATCTGTGGCGGTAGCAGGCTCGCTGTCTGAGCTGCTTCTGATATTTCTTGTCACTGTTCGCATACCTTCGGGTCGAGACAGTGGCTTGCTGCTTGAATCCGCGTCAGGGTGAGCGAGAGAGGCGCTCGTGACTGCGCTGATCGAGGGGCCCAGCCTCTTCTCCTCATCGCGTGCCCGTCGTGAGCCAGGATCGCACGAGGAGAAGATATTTTCCTCGGGGCTATCAGCCAACGTGGCCATTCGCTCCTCAGGCTGCTGAAAGGACATGTTGACTGGTGCCGTGGTACGGTTTGGGGCGATTCGCCGAGATGCTATCCCGCGCGGGCGCATGCATCTGTCCAGTGCCCCCGAGCTAACGCTGTCCAGTCGTGCCACATGGTCGGGGGCGTCCTCGATGTCAAGTCTGGCCGGCCAGTGAGCAAGTTCGTCTGTGCTGTGGACCCTCGGGTCTTTGTCCCCGCGGAGAGTTTCGGTGACGTGTGCCGCCCACAGTTTCTTTAGCCGATCGCCCTTCCCGATGAGGTGTTGCACGACCAGTCCGGCGGCCCATCTTTTACCATCCCATTCCGCGCCTGGCACCAGTCCGTCGGTAGTGAGTCCCGTCGGGGGGGACGTCCAGGCCAGGGTGGAGCAGGCCAGAACAGCGAGCCAGTTGACGTCCAACCCATTGTCTGGCACCTCGTACTGGTTCGCAAGCACGTAG